CCCTTCCAACTACCTACCACTCGACTGACGGCTAAACTCAATATTGCTCACCCTATTACACCTACCACTTCACACGGGAGATAGAACGCGGGCACCTATGATCAAAGACAGCTAACCTTTTTTTTCATACTTTCACCTTGACAACTAACAACTCGTTCTTTTTATAAGTATTGACATTTTTGTTGATATGTGAGTGTCGGTTTTCCTGAGGATTCAGTACTCGGTCATATATATTTCATCATATCTGTAAAATGTATCTTTTTTATTCATAATAATTGAAGACTGTAACAATCAAAACTTATTATTATTAATAATATTATCATGCTTTTTTCTTTAATACTTATTTTAGTATGACAACAGAGGCTAAAACTCGAAGAGTCAGTGATATTTCATCATCATCATCATTTGTCAATCCTAAAACTGTCCCTTCAGTTTCCATAGGAACAATGTCTGATTTAAGATATTCTAATATGAAAACTAGTCCTTCTTTACCTAGATCGATGGAGTCAACAAATCGTTTGAATTCACGTTCCTCAACTCCTGTCAATGAAATGCATAAATCTGAACAGCATATTTGTTGTCCACCATGGATAACAGCTAGTGGTACGGGTACTGGTACTGGAAGTGGGAGTGCGAGTGCTGGCCCCGGTGGCTCCGGTGCTAGTACCGATCAAAGAACTTATCCAACAGACTCTTCTCATCCAAATAAACTTCAACCGAATCCACGTGATCGTGATCATCATCATCATCAACAGACAGTTGAATTAGCTGATTCACGACTTGCTATCTTACACGATGCTAAACTCGCTTCACTAAGTGTTGATTGGCCATCGTGTACAATGAGTCAAAATAATAATAATAATAATAACAATAATATGCCAATGATGAGTAAGGCAAATCGTATTCGATCATCCTCCTCCTCATCAAGTTCATTTTCATCGACAGCCGCCTGTCAAGCAGTCTCTTCATTATCCAGTACACCTGAATCATCCCCATTTTCTGTTGTGAATCAGCTGGCTACAAAAACAGTTGAAAGAAAATATAGCAGCAGTACGTCTAGTTCATCTCCATTATCATCTGGCTCATCATTTCTTCCATCTGAATCTATGCATAAAACTTCAATATCTGGCCAATGTAGTCCTAATGTTCCAATGACTTTTAATTTTAAAGGACTTAATCCTCATCTTCAAACATCATCATCATCGCCTGTGTCTGTGTCATCCACCTCCTCGTTATCATCGTTGTCATCATCTTGCTGTCAGACAATCAAACCTCCTCCATCTCCAGTTATTGGAGGACATAAAATTCCCAGTTCTACTATTACACAGTCTCAAATTGTTATAACATATTCTGAAGAAAATTCTCCAATTACTACTACTACTACTACCACCACCACTAATACTGCTTGCTCTCCTCAATCTTTGAATTCCTTTTTTCCTATAATGAATACAAATTCAACAACAACTTCTACAAATAATGTCATTGAAATAGCAGGATCCAGTAGTAGTTGTAAAGTAGAAGTTGATGATCGATCGAGCATCAATTGGTCAGGTAAACGGTCCACTCATCAATCATCGGAGCTAAATAATAATAATAAAAGACAGTCGACTACAGCTTACAGCTCTTCAGGTGGATTATTACCATCAACGCCACCGATACAGATTATGAAACAAGATTCTATAATAAAGAATAAAATCAATGATAATAATTCGTTAGATCAAAAAACTCAAAATAATAATAATAATAATACTTCAATGCCATTGAAAAAGCGTCTGATTCAACGATATGAAGCTGATCGTGATATTGATATGAAACAACCATCCGAGGTGAAGAATATGTGTAGTTCATCTACTAAGGTCAAGTTAACAATGGAGAGTGCTAAAGTTCAGAGTAGACCAATATCGTATTCAGAGGATATGAAAGCAAATCATTATTTATCTGAAAATCGGTTAACAACAAAAGAAATGTAAGTTTGATTATTCCTTGATTGATAAATTCCTTCTCCTCTGGCTCTACAATTATTATATTAGTATTATATCCTTTAATTCCTAGAGGAACATAGGGATTCAGCCAAACGTCTCCATTGCGTTCGATTCTCTGCTTAATTTTTTCACCCCGCTCCAAGTCTGCCCACACGCTTTCATCTCCTCTTCACACGACCTCCTCCAAGTCACCGTTGCACTGACGACCAACTCGCCGATTCCCTTTCGGCTTCCACTCGAGAAATGCCTTCTCTATTGATGTCACTCACTTGATGGCGTGTTTTCTCAGAGTATGGCCAGCCAATCCACCTCCATTTCTTCCTGCTTACTTGTTGCACAATCGGTTCCTTCTGTGTTGGTTGCTTCCCTCATTGCCAGAGATCCCACCCAGCCTGTTGGTGATCTTTTCTGGTTGGCCATCTGATCTTGAGTGGTATTGGCGATGACAGGTAGCTGTTGATGAAGGTGTGTAGTTTGTTTGAGGTGCTGTTGATGACGCGGTGCTGGCCAAGTCTCTGATCCATCGTATAGTGAGTATCACTGACTGACTGACTTTTTTCTTCACATTGGAGTTGAAAATCCGGATGTTATTTTCATTTTCATGGTGAGTAGTTCTGTTGTTCTCCTCCACACAGATTTGAGGGAAATGAAAGGTTGTCTTGCTTTCCCGTTGATCCTCGCTGCTTTGATGTCCTCGTCAGTTCTGTCCGCCTGTAGTCGACACGACGATGCTTCCCAAGTGGGTAGGTAGGTAGGTAGGTTGGTTGGTTGGTTGGTTGGTAGGTGAAGGAGGTTGTTTCTTTCAGACTCCTCCCATTTATGCTGGCTGATTGTTGTCTGTTGTTGTTGTTGTTGTTGGTGGTGGTGGTGTTGGCCACGAATCTTCATCACCCACCTATGTTTTCTCTATGTTCACCTGAAGGAAGTCCTGACTTCTCTGGATGCTTGTTCTGCCAACTTGCTGCTTTTCACTTGGATATCTTGCAGTTTGTGGTAAATCAGACATATATATGACATCGGCGAAGTCCAGATCCTCCAAGTTGTTTTTTGTGTGAGTCTATTTTATGCCTGTTTCTTCGCTGCCCGGCCACTGTCTGTCGCATTATGCAATCTACTGCAATCAGGAAAATCATTGGCGATAGTAGGCAGCCAGCGAGCCAGTCTTGTCTTACTCCCGTCTTCACTTTTTCGAAGGATTCCGTAAATTTCCCCGTTGTGGATTACTTGGCATGGAGCATTGTCGTACAACTGTTGGATGAGATGTATAATTGTCGGCGGAACCCTACAGTAGTAGCGAAGTATTTCCCAAATCACCTCTCGATCGACGCTGCACTATTGAAGGCCTTTTCAAAGTGGATAAAGTTGAGATAGAGAGGTAACTGCCATTCCAAGCTTTGTTTAATGATGATCCGTAGTGTGGCGATTTGATCAATACAGGACTTGTTCCTCCTGAATCCAGCCTGTTCCGGTCGAAGTTTTCCATCCATCCAGGTTGGCTTGTTTGGTTCTCTCCAGGATGGCTCTACAATTATATATATATATGTTTATATACACAGAATATTCTAGATTAGTAGTCAATAACAATATTAGTGTTTATTTTAAATAATATCAATTTGTTAAGTAAGATCACAATGGAATTACAGTTCATTAAAGATGCCTAAATTATAATAATAACAAAGATGTAATAGCGAATAGAATATCAACTAAAATTAGCGAGATTTCTACAAAAGGTTGAGGATCATTCAAACCTAGATGGCCAAGGTAATGATAACGCCTGAACTAACTTCTTTTTGGATGCATAAATTAGGCTTCTTAATATGGATCCCAACAGCCAGCCTCGGCAATATTTAGTAGTCGAACTCTTAAGGGAAAATTGAGATTCGTAGGTTTGCAGTATAAATGACCCTGAAAGCATGGTTAACGTCAATCTTGTGTTCTGTATCCACAAGATGTTAGCTTAGCATCAGTTGATACATCACAACTCTCCCTGGTTGGATTCCGAGAGGTGTAGCTCAAATTGGTGACTGGAATCATAATCCATGGCAAACATGCTACCTTGTTCCATCTTTCTTCTCTCATCTGAAAGTATTATTTAAGAAGTAATGAATGTTGAATGATGCTGACAAATATGCTTTCTCGCTTTCTAGATGATGTTCCTCATTGATTCTTATCCTATATTCTTTACATATATTGTTGTGTGGCTCATCTCTTAGTGCTTATATCGTACCAAGTTTACGTTCCTGAATAAATGCCAGATAGACTGCTTTGTCTTCGTGTAGTTAGGTGTGACCAATCTGCATACTTCAGCAAGCATATTCTTCAGTATCATTTTATTGAATTTGAGATTTTCCCGTCGATTGATTGGACCGAAGTGCTCGGTCTCAAGTTGACATGTCTGTTGGCTTCTTGTGCTGATACTTCGACGATGTCTGGGCATTTAGTTAGTATTCAATTCATGGATGGTGATTAGCAGTGGAATCCAGCCAGGATAACGCGCATTTCGTCCCATTTGGGACTCGTGGTCAGCTGCATGACCCGTTGCACAAGAGGTGGCCAGCTCTAGTGGCTCAAGTGGTATAGTGGATAACGCTTTGGCTGGTGTTTGAAACTATGGGTACTGGGTTCAACCCTCCGTGGTGGGAACATCATCACTCACTCACTCACTGGGGAATGCAAGTACATCCAGCTGGCGGGCGAGTCCCAAATAGGACGAAATGTGCCTTATCCTGGATTCCACTGCTAGTCACCATCCACCGATTAAATACTCACTTCAGTATCTTTGTCTTTAATCAGGACATACACCTAAATGGATATATATATATACCCAATAGTCTTTTGTAGAAATTCCAGTATCTGTTTTTGTTGTATATTATTAGCAGTCTTTTTATGCACTTATCCTAATCGAATAATTATTCACAAAATACTTTACAGGTAGAAAAAATCGACTGTTCTGAAAGAAAATTTAAACAAAAGAAACGTTCTAAATATGTACAACTGGAGGAATTTTAGGCTTACGAAATGATGAATGTAGTAAACCAACAAAAATTACGCCAACAACAACAACAAAAATCCGCATTGAATAATTGCAAAAAATCTGCTCCGAAAATTTCACGTCGATCTAAACAATTACCATTATGTGAGGATGACGGTGCTGCCACTGCCAGTGCTGATCATGTGGATGACGTCGATGACGGGGATGAGGATGGTGAAGATGATGAGGATGAGGATGATGAATCACATTTGAATGTAACGCTGAATACTCTTCAACCGGAATATAATGATGGTGATCATGATCATGGTCATCTGATAAAGAAAAACTTTTCAGGACGAGGAGACCAGCTGAAAGACGATCAAGAAAGCATAATAGTCCTAGTGTAAATAATAATAATAATTCTAGTCTATCGCATACATCATTGCGTAATGATACATCGAAGAAACGACGACTGGCTGCTGTCAACGGGAATCTAATGATGATGGTTACGGCACATGCTCAACGAAGTACTAGTTCAGGAAGTAATAGCAGTACTAGTACTACTACAGGTGGTAGTCGGAGTAGAAGTAGTTCTAGTTTACGTAGTGTTGAAGGTGGTACTGGTGCTCCTGCTGGCAGTGGCGGTGGCGGTGATTGTAGTGATAATGATGCCTATCGACATTCTTCATCAAGTTCATCAACTATTCAATCGAAAAATTCAACAGATCGACAATTGCCCTATTCTCGAATGACATCGTATAATAAATCGAATCATTTAAAGGATATTATGACTATGAATTCATGTAATCATTTATTGACTCCTAGCGGTGGATCACCTACTGGTACACATTCTTCTATCGATAGTACTCATGGTGGGGGTGTTGGTAGTACTAGTGGAGGATCAAGAAAACCAAAAAGAACAGCTGCATTAGCAGCATCTATAGCAACAAGTGTTTCTACAGTGAAAAAACCTCGTCTCTCATCCTCCTCCTCCTCATCATCATCAAAGCATCGTAATGATACGGGGAAAGGGAAAAATCGATATAAAGATAATCCTCATAATCATAATGCTGATGATGTTGATGATAATGATATTGGCGATGAATCATCTTCACATGGTTGTCTAGATGTTAAAGAGGAATCAACTGATCAAGATGATGTTATCTCTATAATCAGTGGAAATTCTTGTGAACAACCTATGCCTAATGAACTTTCAGCTGCATTAGCTGAAGAGAATTTACAATTTGAAGAACTTGCTAAACAACTTCCTGGTCCTCCTGATTGTAAGTTTTTTTTTAAAATTTTTTCTTGTTGTTTGTTATTATTCAGTGAAAAAGAACAAGAAGTTCAGCAAAGATGACGATCTTTTCGACGATTTCATTCTCAAAAGCACCTGTACAATCGCATTTATTATGTAGATTAGTTTACATGGATACAACTTTTTTTTCCCTTCACGTTCCCCAGTGGAATATAGGGAGATTTCAAGCTAGTGGCTTGAAGTTTCTGTAGCAGTGGGGATCATTTTACAGGATGGGGTTGCTAGCCAGCCTCATGCCCAACCTTTCCTCTCTACCAGGATTATTTATGGCTTAGCGAGGTTTGTGGAGTTTATCCTGTGGCCGGGGATCGAACCCCGGATCATGTGGATGGTCGGCGAGTGTCCTAACCTCTATGCCACCGACTGGATATAATAAGTATTTGATTAATTCCACATAGTAACGAAAGTGATAATAATTTTCAAGTTGATAGGAAAGTTTGAAGGTAGGAATATAGATTACAAGGGACTTAGAGACAAGATTTCATAGGATTAGAAAATAGTTACAACGTATGCAAACAATTAATATCTGATAACTGGAGAAATAATTTTAAGTCAAATAGAAGGTGATAATTGTTTTCAACTTGATATAAATCACTAGAGGCTTAGAAACGCAGGGATAGAACGAATTACAGGTGTGAACAAAATGAGCGTGGAAACAAATTGAAATCAAAATTTTTCAACTTGAAATGTTAGTTAAGAGGTATGAATATAGATTACAAGAGGCATAGAAACAAAAAATTACACAGGATTAGAATATAATTGTAAAATGGTTATTCTAAACGGATTACAAGTGTGATCAGGAGGAGCATGAAAACAAACTTAAAATGACTGATTTTATAACTGAATTGAATGAAGGCAAAGAGAGAAAATTTCACACACAGATAACAAAACAAAAAAAATAGCTGAAGGATAAGGGAACATACCGAACTAAGTCCATGGTAGTTGCAAAGGCTGGACTAGTTTCTTTTGTACACATAGCTCCGGCTTTTCGATGCATATGACGAGAGCTTCCACAGTACAAAGAAGTCGGAAACACACTGCCTTTGGTAGATTTTTGTTTGCTTTGTAAATGACTCTAAATGATAAGTCAGTTGAGATTCTGTGACAGGTATTGACAAGATGTTCAGTTATTGCGCTTCTGATTGAACCAGTGCCTCCTCTTTACAGTCATGCTGGATGATGTTCTCTAACACGTTTTGATAAGAGCTGCATAGAACGACCTGTTTACCTAGCTTCACACGAGCAGGTGAACTGATATATATATATATATATATATATGCACATTGAATCGGTCATATGCGAGAGTTTGTCCTTTGCATTGTTCCGAAGTGTTGGACGGCTAGAGAATGTCAAACTTAGAGTTGCTGCCGGAATTCGTATTCCTTCACATTGCCAGTGGAACATAGGAGGACGGCTTCTAGCTAGAGGCTTGGAGGTGGCAGTGGCGTTTATTACTTTTACAAGATGGATGGAGTTGCTAGTCTCCTTATGCTCACAACCTTCCTTTTTTACCAGCTTTATTACTGGCTTAGCGAGGTTTGTGGAGTTCGTCCTGTGGCCGGAGATCGAGATCCGGACCATGTGCATGCTCGGCGAGCGTCCTAACTGCTGTGTCATCGACGTACTGTGTAAAAAATACCTTCTTACTGTTTATATCGCATTTATCTATCCTGCTGTTAATCATTAAGCGCTGATGTATTTTCTGTTTCTCATGTCATTGAGTTCCGAGTGGAATGTTGTAGGTTTCTTTTTTCACATGGTGGGATTCCTAGCCAGCTAGACAATGTTTAAGGAATCAGTCGGCTGGGAATCTAACCCGAGACGACCTGAGGCATAGTTAGCGAGCATTGTACCCATGAACCAACTGATACATTTATGTATAAACAACTTTGTTAGTTATTGGTTTTTACGCGCTAATGTTTCAGCCGGACAGGTTTTTTTAGTCCATGGTTCTACTTTAACATTGACCGTCGATGAGGAAGGCGATGGATGACTAGACATGCATACGTAACACATGTCCTAACCATTTCAGTCGATGTAACTGCTTCACAGCCTCGTCGATTGGTAGATTTCCCCTCCCACTCACCTACCTACCACTCGACCCACGCCTAACCCCAATATTCCTCAACCTATTACACCTAACACTTCACACGGGAGATAGAACATAGGCACCTATGATCAAAGACAGCTAGCCAGCCAGCCACCCTTTTCATGTCTTCCACTCTCAATGGCCAGGTCTTGCTCACAGCCAACCATATAGGAGGACGGAGCGGACTGATGAGCAGTACACCCACCCTTTGGTCGATGGCCAACGGGATTTCACGTCTACCAAGCCAGAGACGGCGTAAACTGGCATATCCGAAACAAGCCCTCTGTATGTATCCGTACCTAGTTGAGATTTCGTCAGAGATCAACCCGTTGGGACTGGCTGATGGTACTTCCCAAATAAGTGAAGTGGCCAACGTGCTCTACCACTCCACCCCTTATTTCTAAACTAGGAGTCAGTGCAGTCGAATCAGTCCTGTAGCCTCATCATCTCACATTTGACAGCAGGAGCGAATCGCATGCCAAACATTAGAAGATTGCTTTGTAATCAAGGTGTGTTTAAAAGACTCAGCTTTATTTTGTCAGCGTCCTCGCCTAGGAGGTAGGACTATATCGTCTGCATATTCTAAGTCAACGAGATTATTATTCCCTGGTGGTAGCAAGTCAATTTCTGAGTCTCTGAAGTGAGTTAGGGTTAAGTTCATTAGTACATCTATGATGAAATTGAATAGAATTGAGGATAATCAGTGTCCGTGTCAGACACAACAATAAAGAAGTTCAACAAAGGTATCTGTCTACTCAGAAATTTCACCCTCAAAACAAGGTTGTACAATCGCATTTATTCATACATAAGTTTACATAGATAATAATTGTTACTTAATTCAATAATAATAATAATAACGAAGGGAGATTAACGGCGGTGAAAATAACTCTCAACTTGATGTAAAAATTACAAGGGGGCTTAGAAACAAAATTACACAGGATTAGAAAGTAGTTTTTTTTACTTCTTTTCTATTCTAACGATTACAGGTATGAACAGGATGAGTAGGAAAACAGATTGAAAAAAAATCGTTTTTTATAACTCAGGGTAGAAAAAAATTGATGAAGGGGGGATTAGAAACAAACAAACAGACAAAAACTAAAGATAACTGAATTAGATGCATAGTAAAAATGTAGAGATTGGACTAGTTTTTTTTTTGGGGGGGGGTGATACATGGTTCCAGATTTTGGATGCTTATGACGAGCGAAGGCTTCTGTAGTACAAAGAAATCAGAGCGCGTCAGTGGCACAGCGGTTAGGACTCTCGCCGACCATGGTCCGGGGTCCGATCCCCTGCCGACGACGCACACCTGATATCAATGATTGGCCTGCAAAATTTGGGCTACCGATATTACATGCTGAAAATTCCATACTTGTATCAAAAATACGGGGTGGAATCAAGCTGTAATCAAAAAATAAAGATACTGTCTTTAGTAGACTTTTGTTTTTACTTTGTCAATGACTCTGAATGATCCTATAAGTTGAGAGGCTTACTAAACCATTGCCTCTCTTTTTTGCAGTCACATACTAAGTAATATTCTCTGACATGTTTTGAAAGGACCGACATAGAACAGCGTAGCTCTACACGAGCAGGTGAATTGATATATATATTCTATAGTTTGATTTGTAAGGGTTGGTTATGTTTTTACGAGTTGATCACGGATTGATATCAGTTAGAGAAGCATTGAAAACCACCAAGGAGTACTGGACAGCTGTTTTCTCAATCCTACTTCGGGAATCATCGGCATTAATCACCTACGACAATGGTTGATGTCGCGCTAAATCACGAATTGGTAGAAGTTAGAATTCATACGCTGGCCATTGAGTTGGATCGGGTCCCAGTGACTGAATGGTATACGAGCTAGCTCGCCTTGTAATTGGAAGGTCCTGGGTTCGAATCCCAATGGGTGCGTACTGCTGATATATATTCACATAGTTTGTTCTTCACATTGCTTAGCAGCAATAGGTGGATAGCGAATATCACTCTTAGTGTTGCTGCAGGGAAAGGTCTTCATTAGTGAAGTAGAAATTTTCCCTCTTGTAGATATCTTCCGCTAAGTCTCCCTTGAAGTCTAGATTCATATACACCATTTCCTTTGGCGCCACAGTACACTTTTCTCTTTTTTGGTTTTAGTTTCATGTTCTTCCACATGAAACATGCTAGGTACCTGTTTTGTGCCAGGGTATTCTCGAGTAGTAAGAGAAGCTCTTCTGCAAATTCTTTTGATGGGGTAGGCCAGTGAGAAAGACCTTACCGCTTACCACTATCGAGATGTAAAACTTCTTTGGATCGGCTTTTTGCACAACTCTCTCTCCCTAAACTGCTGTCCAAACACCCTTTTGTACAATGCTGGGACTTACATGAACATTTATTTATTTCAGCCATTGTAGATCGTCGAGTGTCATTGAGCCACTCAATTGGTTAATTTCTGTTGGAGTGTACATGTCTGACGATTATCACCACTCAATTTATCATAAATTAATTATAATTTTGAGAGAACAGAAAATTTCACTTCAGCGTTGTTTGTGATAAGTGATATTTTTTAATTTTTTTTGATTATAGCTTGATTCCACCCCGTATTTTTGATACAAGTATGGAATTTTCAGCATGTGATATCGGTAGTCCAAATTTTGCAGGCCAATCATTGATATCAGGTGTGCGTCGTCGGCAGGGGATCGGACCCCGGACCATGGTCGGCGAGAGTCCTAACCGCTGTGCCACCGACGCACAAAGCCAGCACCTTGACCGGGAATCAAATCCGGGCCTTCCACGTGACAGGCGGAGATACTCAACAAGTACATGTATCGCAATGAGGAAACAGGCATAAAATGGACTCACACAAAAAACAACTTGGAGGATCTGGACTTCGCCGATAACACATATAAGTCCGATTTCCCAAAACTGGAATATATGCAAGTGAAAAGCAACAAGTCGACAGAAGAAGCATCCAGAGAAGATAGGACTTCCTTCAGGTGAACATAGAGAAAACAGATGTGGCGATGAAGATTCCTGGTCAACACCAACAGCCACTGCAACAACAACAGACAACAATCAGCCAGCATAAATGAGAGGAGTCTGAAAGAAACAACCTCTTCCGCCTACCTACCAACCAACCTACCTACCTACCCACTTGGGAAGCATCGTCGTGTCGACTACAGGCGGACAGAACTGACGAGGATATCAAAGCAGCGAGGATCAACGGGAAAGCAAGACAAGCTTTCATTTCCCTCAAATCTGTATGGAGGAGAACAACATAACTACTCACCATGAAAATGAAAATAACATCCGGATTTTCAACTCCAATGTGAAGTCAGTCAGTCAGTTTTTCAGTGATACTCACTATACGAGGATCAGAGATTTGGCCAGCACCGCGTCATAAACAGCATCTCAAACAAACTACAGAGCTTCACTAACAGCTAGCTGTCTTCTCTAGCCAGTAAGGATCAACAACAGGGAAGGATCTCTGGGAATGGGTGAACCAACCCACCAGGAACCGATTGTGTGACAAATATGCAGGAAGAAATGGAGGTGAATGGGAATTGATCATACTCTGAGAAAACAAACCACCATCAAGTGAGTGACATCATACGACAGGCCATTGCTCTAGTGGAACTCGAAAGGGAAGCGGCGAGTTGGTCGTCAGTGCAACGGTGACTTGGAGGAGGTCGTGTGAAGAGGGATGAAAGCGTGTGGGCAGACTTGGAGCGGGGTAAAAAAATTGGCAGAGAACCGAACGCAATGGAGATGTTTGGTTGAAGCCCTATGTTCCTCTAGGATTTAAAGGAAATAATAATAATACATGTATCGCAGGTTTCAAATTATTCAAAATTATCGATATTTATTTATATATTTTAATTAACTACAATAACATGTTACTCAATATATATATATATATATTAATCGAAAGGTTTATTGATGTTTTGTTTGTTTGTTGTTTTGTTTTTACTCCCACAATTTTCTAGTAAATCGTACAGCCAATAAATCATTACATTCCACACATTCATTGAATTTTTACAAACGTAGTCAACGTGTTTTTGTCCAGTTGATTAGTTGTAGTGATGTTGGCTTAAAACAAGTACCAAAATGTCGAGCTTGTCGTCATGCTAGAGTCACCTATCATAATTCACCATCAAATTGTATCAATGGTGTTGATGACTCTGATGATGACTACTCAGAAAGTAAACATGCTTTATTTAATCAAGATGTGAATTCAAGTTCAAATGATGATCAAAATTCTTATTCAGATGAAAGTAGAAAAGTTGGTCAATTTAAACGACCACCACCAGGACGTTCATCATCTTCTTCTGTATCAGAGAAAAATCGAAAAAAAGAAAGGACAACAACTGAAAAGTTGTTGAAAGATAATAAACGAAATGTTACACACCATTCACCATCACCTGTATCGGTATTTTGTCGATTTTGGGGTTTTAGAAAGTAAGTGTACGCTGTTTTCTTCCTCTTCTTGTTCTTCTTTAAATGATTTTTATTTTTTCTATCCTGTTATTAATGAATTTTAGTGTTCTGCGTTTTATCTCCCGTGTGAAGTGCTAGGCGTAATAAGGTGAGCAATATTGAGGTTAGGCCTCGGTCAAGTGCTAGGTAGGTAGGTGGGAGGGGAAATCAATCAATCGACGAGGCTGTGAAGCAGTTACATCGACTGAAATGGTTAGGACACGTGTTACGCATGCCTAGTCATCCATCGCCTCCCTCGACAATGTGCAATGTTAGCTGACTGACATAGGGTCAGGCTGGAAAAGAGCTAGCTAGGGGTGCTCAAACCAAAACATGGTTTCACCAGTCAATGAAATCCAAAACAGTTAGTTTAAGCCAGACAGCCAGTCATGTAGGAAGGTGTAGACTTCCTGACTGGCTGGTTGGGGTCCTCGAAACGGTAAACACCAATGAAGGGCTGGAAACAATTGGTGATATGGCTCAAAGTGATCGTTCTCAATGGCTGGCTCAGATGCATCCACTCCTTGTGACTTACGATTTCCAGTAAAACTATATTCTTCTTCGTTATTACTATTCCTTTGTCTCACACCTCTGTTTACTGTCTCTGTCATGCATTTCTTTTCAACTTCTTCTGTTTCTTTGTGTGGTAGAAGGAGTGGAGTTTGTCTACTTGGACTGGTGCACACCGGTGCAAAGTTCTATGTCGAAAACACACAGACAAACTGACAATGTTTGACTGACTGACTGGTTTCAACGTAGAACTTTGCACGCGTGTGCAGTACTTCCAGTTGCCACAATATCTCCTTGTAAGAGAAGAGAGTAAAGAGAGGTTCAAAAAATCGATATTAAACACACTTGTGAGCCAAAAAGAATAGTAACCTGGAAGAACAATAGGGTTTCATTGGATTTGATAAATCACAAGGAGTGGATGCCTGTGTATCACCAGTCATTGACAACGAGAACTTTGAGCCATATCACCATTTGTCTCCAGCCTTGATTGGTTCTTACAACGTTGTCCTGAGGACCCCAACTAGACAGTCAAGCAGTCTACTCCTTCCTACGCGACTGGCTGACTTAATCTAACTGATAGGGATTTTATTGACTTATGAAGCCATATCAAATTGTTGGTTTATGGGGATTTGATTGGTTACAGTTATGGTATACGAGCTCGCCTTGTAACCAAAAGATTCTGGGTTCGATTCCCGGTGGGTGCGTACTGCTGAAGAGTCCTAAACCAGGACGAAACAGCAGTCCAGTACTCCCAGGTTTTCCAATGGTTCTCTAACCAATGTCAAGTCATGATGAAAATCCTGAAGCCATATTGGTTTTGGTTTGAGCACCCAGCACTAGCTAACTCTTTTCCAACCTGTTCCATCCCATTTCAGTCAGCTAATATTGCCTGTCGGTCGAAGAAGGCGATCGATGGTTAGGCTAGCAACGCGTAACACATATCTTAACCATCTCAATCGATGCAGCTGCTTCACAACCTCGTCGATTGATTGATTTCTCCTCCCACCTACCTAATTAGTACTCGACAGGAGCCTCACCTAGATACTGCTCACCTTATTATACTACTTAACAGGTGAGATAAGACTCAGAAGACCTATGATGAAAGACAGCTACTCAGGCTTCTGATGTCTTCCATTTTAAACGGCCATGTCCGCTGACAGCCAACCATGAAGGAGGACATTCGTATGGTCATGCCAGCCTGCAGTTATTGTTATATTATTTATATTACTCGTCTCTGGTGTTCCTAATGGAACATAGAGCCTCCCTCAGCAGGAAAACTGCCACTCATCTGACCGATTGTGTAACAAATATGCAGGAAGAAATGGAGGTGAATGTGAATTCGCTGGCCATACACTGAGAAAACAAACCACCATCAAGTGAGTGACATCACACACACCAGGCCATTGTTCGAGTGGAAGCCGAAAGGGAAGCGGTGAGTTGGTGGTCAGTGCGATGGTAGGGTGACATGGGAGAATGTGATGTGAAGAGGAGATGAATGCATTGTCAGAGAAGCGAAGGGAATGGAGAAGTGTGGCTGAAGCCTTATGTTCCTCTATGAATTAAAAGAAACAATAATCATATAGTAATAATGTGCGGCCAACGAGAGCTGTAGTCTTGAATGCAATCAAGCTTCTGAAAGCCGGAAAAGCAGCTGGACCAGATGGAATACCCAGAGACGACAGCAAATATGTTGACTCCATTATTGTAAAAGGTCTGGAAGGAGGAAACGGTGCCCACTGACTGGAGAAAAGATTACCTCATGAAACTACTAAAGAAGGGAAACTTAGGGCTCACTCTGCAAGAACTGGCGAGGAGTCATGCTCTGCTCCTGTCGACGCCAAGTAAAATCCTGAGTCGAATCATCCTGGAGAGAATAAAGGACGCACTGGAAACAGAATTTTGATCAGAACAAGCTGGATTGCGGAAAGTTAGGCAAATCATGTTCTGATCAAATTGTAACTCAACGCATCATCATCACAGAACAAAGCATGGAATTGCAGTCAAACCTCTACCTCAACTTTATAGACTTTGAGAAGGTCTTCGACAGCGTTGATCGTGATGTAATTTGGAAATTACTTGAGTACTACGGCGTACCCCAAATATTCATCAACCTTATTCAACAGCTGTACGACAACGGAACATGTCAAGTCATCCACAACGGAAAACTCAGTGACGCGTTTGGAGTAAACACAGGAGTCAGACAAGGGTGCTTGTTATCATCAGTGAATGATATTCCTAATTGTGGTGGACTGACTTGATTATACGTCAGACGGTTGGAAACGAGAAGGCAGGGATATCCTGGACCGACCGACGTGAAGAACTTAGAAGACCTGGATTTCGCGGATTACTTATGTTTGATGTCACACAAAATCGAAGATGAACAAGCGAAAACCGACAAACTAGTCGAAGAAGCAAACAGTGAAGACAGGACTCTAAGTGAACATAGACAAAACGGAGGTTATGGAAATAACTAACCACCACCACCACCACCAACAACAACAAAAACAGCAACATCCAGCGCCAATCACCATCAACGGGAGGGATTTGAAAGAGGTTAGTTACTTCATTCATTCACTTATCTAGGGAGCATTGTCTCAACTACAGTAAGTCGGAACGGACGAGGATGTCAAATCGAGCGAGAATCATCGGGAAGGCGAGAAACACACATTCATCAACCTGAAACCAATCTGGAAATCTTCGTCACTGAGCCAGCACCAACAACACAATTCGGTCGGTTGGATTTTCAATACAAACAACGTGAAGTCAGGGAGTTCTTCTATACGGATCGGATGCGAAACTTGGTTGGCGGGCGGGTCACAAAGAATATTTCCAAAAGGTTACAGACCTTTATCAACAACTAACTGTCTTCGCTCTATACTGAAGATCAGATGGCTGGAAAGAACTACGAACAAGAAACTATGGGAACAAACGAAACAAAACAAGAACCAATCACCAAACAACAAATATGCAGGAGAAAGTGGATTGGATGGATTGGACACTCGCTCGCTGAGGAGGCCGCCTCTGGGTGACATCGCATGTCAAGCCCTCGATTGGAACTAGGCCGAAAGGTAAGCGGCGAGTGGATCGTCAGTGCAAGGGTGACATGGAGGAGATGGTATGACGATCAGGTTGAAACAGTATAGACTAACATGGATGCAGGTGAAAAGTACAGCAGAAGGAAGACAGAAGCAAGTGGAGGGAGACGTGCAATTGAAGCCGTATGTTCCACTAGGAACCCAAGGGAACAATAAAAAAATAAAAATAATGTGCTGAAACACTTTACAATCATTATCAGGTATGAATTGTACGAACAATCGTTAAAAAAGTTCATGTGTAAGAATTAAAAAAAAATAATGCACAGTTTCTTAATTCATATCATCAATTTGATTTTTGTTTATGTTAACAAAATTATTGATTTTTCTTTTTCTTTTTTCTCTCCTTGGGTATTTCATCATGTGATTTTTGTTGTTGCTATGGTTGTTAACGTGATGAACATTCACACACACACCCGCCTATAACACACTTTACGAAAAACACCGAATCTAAAAATTACAAAATAGATTATGTTACAATAATCGTGGTGTATTAAAAATAGCCGATTTTTGTCGATCTACCGAATCGGATGCTTTAGAACGCTCTCTTTGGGAAATGTATCATCCAGGTAAGTCGATTATATATACACATATATACATATTGTTGTTTGTTTAATCATATTGACGTATTTAATAGTTGGGTGTATGTGACTTTTTCTCTATTTCGAATTTGTTTTCACACTACACTATACACTATTTTTAAAACACTTATGAAGACATTCTTTGTGTTCCTGTGCATTTTATAATGTATTTTGTGCTATTCTTTCTAAATTGATTTGTGTTGATGTTTCTACAAGAGTTGATTGTTCACCAGATCAGAGTTTTGGCTGTCTGTCTGGCCTGTCGACGGACACGTGCTTTTGAGCCTTATCCAGAGAGATTATAAACTTGAAAAAGAAGGAGGGTTGTGTGTGTGTGTGTGTGTGTGTGTAGGCGTAGAGACTTCGTCCTACCAAAACCTCTTGGAACTCTCTCCATACTCCACTCGGAATACATTATTATTATTTATTGTTCCCTTGGGTTCCTAGTGGAACATAGAACTTCAATTGCACGTCTCCCTCCACTTGCTTCTGTCTTCCTTCTGCTGTACTTTTCACCTGCATCCATGTTAGTCCATACTGTTTCAACCTGATCGTCATACCATCTCCTCCATGTCACCCTTGCACTGACGATCCACTCGCCGCTTACCTTTCGGCCTAGTTCCACTCGAGGGCCTGACGCGCGATGTCACCCAGCGGCGGCCTCCTCAGCGAGCGAGTGTCCAATCCATCCAATCCACTTTCTCCTGCATATTTGTTGTTTGGTGATTGGTTCTTGTTTTGTTTCCTTTGTTCCATAATTTCTTGTTCGTAGTTCTTTCCAGCCATCTGATCTTCAGTATAGAGACTCGGAATGCATAGAATGCAAAAGTTCTTAATTTTGACTGATTTTCACTTTAGTTCTTTATTCTTCGGCAACAGTGTCTCCCTGGTGCATTTTGTTCCGACTTTATATTGTCTTTGTTTTCTTTAATCGATTCTCCAATTTGTAGTTTGTGCAGTTCGAGAGGAGGTGATTACTATTTGACTAGCGCTTTCTCTTGGTGGAAAGTGAAACTTCAGTTACACACACACACACACACACACACACACACACATACATACAATCACACAGTGGAGTTATACACTAATATTTACTGATTGGACCACGTTTCGAGCACAAATTATCATGGTCACTGATAATCATATCAGGGCACTCATTCACACAACTTTCTTCTTTCCTTCATTTATATACATGTGTGGAACTGACTAGATATTGGAATAATGTATATTCAGAAATAATAATATGAGTATTATTGATCAAGTACAATCAGATGGGAAATAAGACGAGTGTTTGTGTAGTGATAATAGGTAACTTGTCAGAATGTTTTGATGTGTTTGAATTGAAATAGAACTTCGAGATTATTTATTATCCTCCTCTGATTTGACTGACTGACTGACTGACTGGTGGTAATAATATCTTCCATGCATATCTCTGGTATTTGCATTGAGTCACTTCTATCGTGCATGTGTTGTGTTGGGTGTAGACTCAATGAACCAGTTAGGATTCAGTAATCAATCTATCTCTCTCTCCCCACCTACATAGATTACTTCTGACGGCCTTAGATTCCTATCCTATAAAATTCATTATGAAGATCAGTAAAGGCCAAAAACAAAATAAAATAATTGTGAAACTAGGAATGATAACATAGATAAGAGAGAATATAAGTCATCTACAGTGATACCATATAAGAAGGGGACATCTCAAACCCCTTGTATGATTCTTGATAAAGCAGGAATTAGGGTGACATTCAAACCTACAAACTCACTCAATTAGGATAAGCTCTGTAGGCTAAAAGATCCGAACGACCCAATTAAACAAAATAATATAATTTACAAAATACTCTGCAATCACTGTGAGTTGGGTCAACTATATAGGTCAAACTAGTAGATCGTGGGTAGTCAGATTGTCAGAACATAAGAATTTAGCCAAGGGAAGAATGGTTGACCCCGAGAAGATAAGTAATTTAGAAAAAAGCTCAGCTGTTGCACTTCACACATTAACACACAACCACACAATAGGGTGGGTGCAGGAGGGTTAAGATTCTAATAAGTAATCAATGTAAGTGGAGAGAGAGATTGATTACTGAATCCTAACTGGTTCATTTAGTCTACACCCAACACAACACATGCACGATAGAAGTGACTCAATGCAAATACCAGAGATATGCATGGAAGATATTATTACCACCAGTCAGTCAGTCAGTCAGTCAAATCAGAGGAGGATAATAAATAATCTCGAAGTTCTATTTCAATTCAAACACATCAAAACATTCTGACAAGTTACCTATTATCACTACACAAACACTCGTCTTATTTCCCATCTGATTGTACTTGATCAATAATACTCATATTATTATTTCTGAATATACATTATTCCAATATCTAGTCAGTTCCACACATGTATATAAATGAAGGAAAGAAGAAAGTTGTGTGAATGAGTGCCCTGATATGATTATCAGTGACCATGATAATTTGTGCTCGAAACGTGGTCCAATCAGTAAATATTAGTGTATAACTCCACTGTGTGATTGTATGTATGTGTGTGTGTGTATATGTATGTGTGTGTGTGTGTGTGTGTGTGTGTGTAACTGAAGTTTCACTTTCCACCAAGAGAAAGCGCTAGTCAAATAGTAATCACCTCCGTCTCGAACTGCACAAACTACAAATTGGAGAATCGATTAAAGAAAACAAAGACAAATTCCATACTTGTACCGAAAATACGGTATGGCATCAAGCTGTAATAAAAAAATAAAAATAAAAATATGAATAGTCCTTAGATGTTTAGTCAAAGTGTAGGTAGGTAGATAAAGATATAGTCAGGAGGATGAATACTTTTCGTTGACTGGAATATATATGTGTATATCTATAATGCAGGATAAATCATCACCACCTTTTTTGTGTCGTGATAAGTCGAGTGAATACATCATTTGGTTTAGAGGTAGAATGTTCGCTAACCATGCCTCATATATGGTGCCCGAATTTGATCGCCAGATGACAAGCTATGCAAACGTTGCTGCTATCCGATAGTAGTAGTGTAACAGCAACTGAAGACAAGGCCCAGTCAACAGATCGTTTATTCATGAAATCAACACATATTTATAGATTTTCATGTACATTAGTATAGATTATTGTTAGTAGACAAACGCAGTCTGCTCTGATTGGTTGTTTCTCACAGAAAGTTAACCTTGCATCTCTTTGTGACTGTTTCTTGAATGTCAGATCATCTATGTGCTAACTGTATCTGCCCACGCAAAGCCTGTCTTCTCATTTTTCCACGACCAATATTGGGATATAAACATTGACGTAAATTAATGTCTACCAATTTTTGGCTAGCAGTCAGCTCTCACCGCACTAGTAAGTAAGACCGGTGACAATAGAAGGTTTGACCGTGAGGCTGGCAATTCCACCCCCATACAAATAACTCTACTGTTACTGAAACTCACATTCCAATCGAAACATAAAAGAAAGAGATAAAAGGAGTGAAAAACAGGACAACCTTGGAATCGGTTATCGGTCTGGGACTGATTGCGCGTGGCGATGGTTCTAGTAGAGGTTACTTGATGATTTTGAATAGCTTCAAAACCAATGGTAATATATATATATATTTATCATAAAATTGGCTACAGTAGCGTAGATTTATCCATTTCGTCCCAGTTTGGGACTCTTCAGCGCCGAACTGATTACAAGGTTTTCACTGGTCCTTCAACTGATATTTAATTCTTCTTTAGTCATTTTTATCGATCTGTACGCTTACATCACTCATGTGCGCTACATGATTTAACTTTTAAAAGTAAAATATTTTTCTGAAAAGTAAATATTTCTTCGCTTAGTCTTTCTCTTTTTTAAATGTCTAAATGGGGATATTTTCTATAATTTTTAATGATCAGAAAATACTCTATGACAGTTTCGTCCTAGTTGGAGACTTTTCATCAGTATATACCATTAGACGGTAACATGTGGGGCATACATTTACTGCAGGTTGTTTTCGAGGTGAATTTCCTAAAGTTTTTTAGTATGAGATTGTGATCGGTTTCATTCAGGGGTGAGACGGAGTGAGGTGTGTATTGAGTTAAGTCTGTGACTTGTGGCGGCGACATTTGATAGCGGTACCGTTGCAGTATCGTGAACTGCTGAAACACAAGTTGGAATTCATTCTTAATTGAATATTTAATCAGTGCTTATATGTTAACATGGGCTCTTGTAACCTGAGGTTTCGTGTTGAACTCTTGATACACAAACTGAGTCCTGGGTCACAAACTCGTTGCATTCCTACTTCTCCAACAGAATGCAGTATACCGTATACAAAGCGAATCCTCCTCTGCTGTGCTCACTGAAGCTAGTGTCCGCCAAGTTGCTGTACTTTCCCCACTTCTTTTTCTTTTTTTCTACATGACCTATCCTCTTCAAATGGCATTAGTTTTGTCAAATATGCTGATGACCTAACTGTATCTTTGCCTGTCAAATGTCAAAGTGACTGCACTAAACTAAACGGCTTTTTATCAGAAGTCAGCCAATGGTCCAAGGAAAACGGTCCTACCTTAAACCCTTCCAAATATCAAACAGTCAATTTCACCTTTAGGGATAAATCTGACGTTAACAAACTGGTGGTAAGCACTCAGGAGGTGTACAACATAGATGGATGGCACTGAAATAGAAACCAAGTCAGAAATTAAATACTTAGGCGTCGTTCTATCTGCTGATCTTTCCTGGTCGTCTCATATCTTGATGATTTCTAAGAAAATATTCCGTCTTACTTTTTACATCAAGAAGTTGAAACATTCTGGAATAACCCACCCAACCCTTACTCTTACGATTCGTTAACTCTTGAGGTAAGCCTATTATTCTCTATTGTTCTTCCTTAGTTTTCCAGGGCTACTGAAGAAAGACTATATCTTATTACGCAGGATGTTAAAGGTTGTCAGCAGGGTAAACAACGTGCCACTTAACCAGCTTATTATTCTGGTGGACAGGCACATGGACTCATGTGAAAAATGGGCTAAATCCATTCAACCTATCTAACTCACACCACTCCTCTTCATTCACAACTCTCCCCTTGTATCTCATCAGACAAAGCCATAAGCCTGTATAGAAAACTAAATGCTCGCACTAGAAAGTACAAAAACACAACCATACCCTACTTAGCTCGTGTCCTGTGCGATAAAGAAAGCATTAGGCGTGAAACTTATAACTTATTAAATAGTCAGTAGAACAACTGGATCTCGTCTTTCCAACTCAAATCATTTATAGGTACAACGTTTTCTCTCTTTCTTTTCCTTTTCTCTCTCCTGTTTTGTTACCGCTTACGCCAGTTAATATGCTACCATCTACTTTTCTAACACCTTCAAACACTCAGTTCAATTTTGGCTTTGCTACCGACATGCTAGTATGTTGTTGTCATAATGAATTGAGATTACCCTTAATCTATGTAGAATTTGATTTATTGATAATGTACTAACTGGATGCGATACTGTAGTGAAATGGTGAGAATTCCATTCTGTATCACAAGTAATGTTTTGGAATAAAGCAAAGTATTATTATTATTATTGATGAGGTTGTAGATGTGCACTACTGATGAGTGAGTGAGTGAGTGAGTAAGTCTCATCAATCTTCTTCATGATATATCTGTTCGAATCCCAATGTCTAATCGACTTTTTTTAAATGTTTTTCTTAAATTTCAGTTTCACCTTTTCTAAGCGCCTATGCTGCACGTTATATATTAGAATGTGCTGGAGGTCTTTTCTGTCGTCTACTTCATCAAGAATTGACATCTTTGAATGGTAATAATTCAAATCATATCGAATTTCAAAAAATCACCTCATTATCAGGTAGAAATGGAAAATCCTCTAATACAAATGCTGTTAATAAAAATGATGACAATAATAATCATAATAATAATAATGGTGGGGGTGATAATACTAACTTGATTGCCTGGAAAAAACCTGTCAAAGGTGTACGCGAAATGTGTGATGTCTGTGATACAACAATGTTTAATACACATTGGGTTTGTGCTAAATGTGGTTATTCTGTGTGTACAGATTGTTTAGACGAGTCTAAACTAACTAATTCCTCAATGAATTCAGATAGAAAAGTCAATGAAAATGGTACAGTAGTGGAGAAAAGCAAATCAAAACATTCACGAGGTTTGTGCATTTTTGTGCATGTGTCCTTGATTCGATTGATTTTTATTGAATCGAATATATATATATATAATCGAATAAAGCATTTAAAAGACAAATTTCGCCGCTAGATGATATCGTCATTTCGGAGTTTCTTTACAACCGCTTTACAACTAACATGGTTAACAATAATAAAATAAAGATCATGACAATTACTCAGTTAAATAAAAAACAAACAAAAGTACATACTAATGACCAATCATATTTAGATAGGTCATGTAGTCAGTTCATGGTAGTCGAAGATTGAAGTCTATTGTGTTTTGACTGTACACACAGTTTAGGCTGTATGTGATTAATCCCCCCCCCCCAAAGTGTTTCCATCACCTTCAATAACCAACCAACCTTGAATTAGAGTTATGTGGTGAAATAATTGTGAAACAGTCATTAATATTGATTAATTTTGTGACCTGACATTAATAAGTGTTTGGCAATAAATGATGATAATGATGATGGATTTCTATTCAGATTACTTGCATTGGGATTTTACTATATGATTTAGTAACCATTTTGGAACATGTTCTTTTCGACGACGACATTGGAACATTCTGTTGTGGTTCTACCTACATAGGTGTCACCGCGACAACTGCACATGAACTTGTAAATACAGTATGAAGTAGAGTCCAGAGAATTTCATCCTTTAATCGTAGGTAGGTACAGGGATCGAAAATGTTCGGCAAGTGAGAAAAAGAGATGTGGTGGCGTAGAATAAGTGTTTGATGGCTGACCGAAGTCTTTGTGCTATCTGTCAACTGCATAATCTGGTCGCCCTTGAATGGTAGGTTGATAAAGATAGCTTTGTTTGGTACAGAATCTGTCTTTACGAGATGTGGTCTTTCTTTATTGTGACAAGTGATAAAGTTTCCCGGATTACCGTTAGCTAATAAAACTGAATGTATATGTCGTAACTCATCCATGAATGTGTCACTCGTGCATAATTTTCCGGCCCTTGAGAACAGACATTTCACTATGGGGAACGTTTATACTGGATAGGAACAAAACTGGTAAAATGAAGATATTGTCCACTCCATGTCTATATCTACAAGTTCACCTGCAGCTGTGGTGACACCTAAATAGGTAGAATCACAACAGAGTGTTCTAATGTCGTCGTCGAAAAGAACATGGTCCAAAATGGCTAATAAATCATATAGAAAATCCAACGCGATTAATCTGAATAGAAATCCATCACTATCGTCATCCATTGCAAAACACTTATTAATGTCAAGTCACAAAATCAATCGACATTAATAAGTGTTTCACAATTATTTCATCATATAATTGTAATTCAAGGTTGGTTGGTTATTGAAGGTGATGGAAGCCCTTTTGGGGGATTAATCACATACAGTCTAAACTGTGTGTACAAAAAACAACACAATAGACTTCAGTCGTCGCCTACCATGAACTGTGTGCGTCGGTGGCACAGTGGTTAGGACTCTCGCCGACCATGCACATGGTCCGGGGTTCGAGCCCGCACCGACGCACATCTGATATCTATGGTCGGCCTGCAAAATTTGGGCTACCGATATCCATGCTGAAAATTCCATACTTGTACCGAAAATACAGTGTGGAATCAAGCTGGAAATAAAAAAAAAACTACATGACCTATCTAAATATGATTGGTCATTAGTATGTACTTTTGTTTTGTTTTTTTATTTAACTGAGTAATTGTCATGATCCTTATTTTATTTTGAACCTGTTGTCGCCCACAAACAGGGTATTCCTCAGTTTTTAGTAGGAACTTGGGAATCAAAAGTTTGTAAATGTTTTAAATACCTACAAGAGTAGATAATAATACCATTGAAGGCGATATCTCAATCGATTCAAAAACAATCCGAAGGAGAGAAAAAAGTATAGGCAATAGAGAGAGAGAGAGAGAGGGATGGAAGTTTTTCGTAGCCCTAGTTTTAAGCAGGCCGTCAACGACCAACAGTGAATTGTTGATGTTTGACAAGATGATGTTACAAGATTGGCAGGAGCCTGTACCTGCACTCACTCTTGCGGGTGAACCGCTTGAAGTTGTTGATAAGTTTGTATATCTGAGTGGGTAGTTGTGTGAGTGCTGGTGGAGGGGTAACGGATGAGATTTTCAAACGCATAATGAAGGCTAGAGTGAAATACATCAAAGCCACCTCTGGCGCCATCGCGACGTTAGCCTGGCTATCAAAGGTCAGGTATACAATGCTTCGGTTCGAGCTGTCTTGCTCTACGCCAAGCCTGTCAAACCTGCCTCTCCGAGTAGGCTAAGGATGTTCGGCGACTCTGCATGTTCGATCATCGCTGTCTCCGTAGGATTGCTTGCGTTCGATGGAATCATCGCGTGAGTAAATCTGAGGTTCGGCGGCGTTGGGATGAAGGATGTTTGTGCTAGATTAGCATCGATTGGTGAAGCACGACTCCTTGGTTGGAGTCCGAGAGATAGTTCGACTCGATGTCTCGAAACTTTATCGGATATGGTCAAGAATCGTAGTCATCAATGGCAAACGTGTTGCGATTTCCTTCTTTCTTCACTTCCCGATGATATTCAACGAATACTGTTTGAACTTGTTAAGTATGACTGTTTTTCTTCCAAATGAAGTTCTTTATGCGTTCTCTACTTATACTTTTTTTAACCTTTGATCTATGTTGTTTTATTATTATTATGGTTGTGTGTAGCGCATCTTTCTTGGTGCCATATTGTACCAAGTTTTTTCTGCGTTTAAATAAATAAATAAATAAATAATCAGTGACGTGAAATGTTAACACAAATGACACACTGAATAACATTGAAAGTTTATGTATTTTTTTAAATTTAGGTCGTGGTGGTGGTCCACACGGTTGGGCATCATGTACTACAACACGTCAACATCATGATCCAAATCGTCTTTTATTAACATCTTTACTGCCTTCTGGTATTATCGGCAGGTTAATTCATCGATTACATCGTATTGCTAATTATCATCAAATTAATTTAGGCTGTCATTGTTCTGCTTCCGCTGCTGGTTCTTCTGCCTCTTCGTCATCAACATCATCATCAGAGAGTAGTGGTGGTGGGGATGTGTCGTTGAAATCGACAAAAACGCTGGATGTTGTTAGAGGAGATGGGGTAGATAGAAATTCACTCGATTTATTAGCTGATATAGCCTTGAAAACAGATGAGTCGAATAGTACTCCTACTGCTACCACTATTACTAGTACTACAACGACGACGACGACGACTCCATCAACGACGACTCACAACAGTCCCAACAGTACTACTACTACTACTACTACTACTAATGACACTGATGTGAGCACTGCTAATCGGATTATTGATTCTACTACTCCGCCTATGATGGATAATGGTGGTATTAAATTAGTAATGAACAATGATAATAAAAATAATAATCATAATAAACGCATATCAAATATCCCATCGCATAATTGGATACATTCTCGAAATTCTACTGGTCAAAAGTCTTGTCAAAAGATGAATGAATTGACCAATCATCATCATAATAATAATAATACTAACAGTATTAGTAACAATGGATCAGATCTACATAAAGATTTAGATGTTGTGAAAAGTTATCAAACAAAACAAGTTAATCATCTTCATCATCTTCAGCAGTCGCATCAACATCAAAATCGACATCCTGCTGTTCTTCGCCTACATCATCCGGATTCACCTGGTGTTTTATTGCAATTTCAAGTGAGTTTTTATTATATACACTTGATTATGCCTTGATTCCTCACCGTATTTTTGGTACAAGTATGAAATTTTCAGCATGTGATATTGGTAGCCCAAATTTCGCAGACCGACCATTGATATCCAGTGTGCATCGTGGGCAGGAGATCGAACTGTCTGTCGGTCTATCTGTTTTCACCGATGTGTAGCAGTTCAAGTCGACACACTCCCTCCTCCTTGTAGCGTACAAATCAAGACAAGAAAGTAGAAGAAATGCATAATAGAGACAGTATAAACAGAGGTGTGAGACAAAGGAATAGTAATAGTAACGAAGAACAATATAGTTTCATTGGAGATCATAGGTCACAGGGAGCGGATGAATCTGCACCAGCCATTGACAACGAGGATTTTGAGCCGAATCACCAATTGCCTCCGGCCTGCCTGTTTACCGTCTCGAGGACCCCAAACAGGAAGTCTGCACCTTACTATATGGCTGGCTTAAATTAACTGTTGTGGATTTCACTGGCTGATGAAGCCATGTTTCGGTCTGACCGCCACTAGCTAGCTCTTTTCCAGCCTGACCCTATGTCAGTCAGCTAACATTGCCCGTCAGTGGAGAAAGGTGATGACTAGGCATGCATACGTAACACATGTCCTAACCACCTCAGTCGATGTAACTGCTTCACAGCCTCGTCGATTGATTGATTTCCCCTCCCACCTACCTACCTATCACTCGACCCACGCCTAACCCCAATATTCCTCAACCTATTACACCTAACACTTCACACGGGAGATAGAACACAAGCACCTATGATCAAAGACAGCTAGCCAGCCAGCCACCCTTTTCATGTCTTCCACTCTCAATGGCCAGGTCTCACTCACAGTTGACCATAAAGGAGGACGGAGCGGACTGATGAGCAGTACACCCACCCTTTGGTCGATGGCCAACGGGATTTCACGTCTACCAGGCCAGAGACGGCGTAAACTGGCATATCCGAAACAAGCCCTCTGTATGTATCCGTACCTAGTTGAGATTTCGTCAGAGATCAACCGTTGGGACTGGCTGATGATACTTCCCAAATAAGTGAAGTGGCCAACGTGCTCTACCACTCCACCCCTTATTTCTAAACTAGGAGTCAGTGCAGTCCAATCAGTCCTGTAGCCTCATCATCTTACATTTGACAGCAGGAGCGAATCGCATGCCAAACATTAGAAGATTGCTTTGTAATCAAGGTGTGTTTAAAAGACTCAGCTTTATTTTGTCAGCGTCCTCGCCTAGGAGTGGAGACTATATCGTCTGCATATTCTAAGTCAACGAGATTATTATTCCCTGGTGGGAACAAGTCAATCTCTGAGTCTCTGAAGTGAGTTAGGGTTAAGTTTATTAGTAATAATAATAATTTGCTTTATTTCAAAACAATACTTGTGATACAGAATGGAATTCTCACCATTTCACTACAGTATCGCATCCAGTTAGTACATTATCAATAAATAAAATTCTACATTAAGGACATTAAGGAAATTTCATTTCATTATGACAACAACATATTGGCATGTCGGTAGCAAAGCCAAAATTGAACTGAGTGTTTGAAGGTGTTCGAAAAGTAGATGGTAGTTTATTTACTGGCGCAAGCAGGAGAAAGAAACAAAGCAGCACATAACAGAGAAAAAGAGAGAGAGAGAGAGAAAAGGAAAAGAAAGAGAGAAAACGTTGTACCTATAAATTATATGAGTTGGAAAGACAAGATTCAGTTGTTCTACATGTATGATGGAATTGAATAGAAATAGGGATAATGGGCATCCCTGACGTACACCACTAGTCGTCACCAGTTCAGATGACAACTCGCCGTTAGCCCTCACCTGACTGACTGCATGAGTTCGAGTAGAGTGTCTCGATCAGTGCGATGTATTTTTTCGGCATTCCTTTTACAGCCAAACGTCGCTATAGTACCTCTCGATCGGCAAAATCGAATGCCGCCCTTAGGTCAAGAAATATAATGATTGTTGAACAACGATAGGAATGCCTATGTTCTAGAATCTGTCGAAGGGTGAAGATATGACTAATACACCCTCTTCGTGGTCTAAAGCCTGCCTGGTTCTCTCGTGTTTTTGCCTCCGAGCACCACTTAGTCAACGCAATATTATTCAGCCTAGGACTTTAGTTAATATATTAGTCAAATTAATCCCTCTGTTGTTATCCAGGAAGACTTGTCTCCCTTTCTGTATATGGGGATAATCAGTGACTTACATCAACCCGACGGGACTTCCTTGGTTACCAGACGCTGCCTAGTACCTCAGTTAATGCAGGACTGAACTCCGAACCATGTGCATGGTCGGTGAGAGTCCTAACCTCTGTGCCAACGACACATGTGTAATATAGCACACTTTTTGGTCCGTCTCCTAGAATGGAATGCGTTCCTCATGTTGGTTATCGATTAGGGATGTAAAATTGTTTCCCTAATCACGTTATTGTAGACAAGGTTTTTACTCTTTTGGTTACTCGTTTGTGAAGAATACGGTTTATTGGCTTTTTGGGGGCTTAGTTTTCAGCCAAGATTCGGATTCATTATTTTCTACATCTTTCAACTTAGACAATTGGGTAACGAATGTATCATCAATGGGTTGTGATGAAGCTACATCAACTGAGATGATAGCTGGGCCAGGTGTTGTGCACTCATGAGACACTGCCTGTTTGTTAGCTGACAGACATAGGATGGATCAGGTTGGAAAAGAGAAAGCTAGTAGTGGTCAGACAAAAACGTGAAGCCACTCCTTGAAATCTTCGACAGTTAGTTTAAGCCAGCCAGCCAGCCGCTTATGGTGGGGGGGGTATGGACTACCTTGTTGAAGTCCTCAGGTTTACGTGGTGAGAACCGAAGCCTGGAGACAAATAGTGATGTATCTTAAAACCGTTCTTAGTAGAGCAGAGCTATTCACTTTTTGTGATCTGTCATATCCATTCAGTCCTAATGTTTCTTTCTCTGTTACTATGCCTTATCCCTCTCATTTCTGTTGATCATCGTTCTTCCGAATCTCTTTATTTCTCTTTTTCATCTTTTGTGTGTTATATGGAGTGTGACAACTCAAACTGCTGCACATCTATGCACAGTTCTATGTTGAAACCAGTCCCTCAGTCAATCAGTCAGCCAGTCTTCAGCAGTAAATAAGTTGAGCTGATACCGGTTAAATCCCAGCTGTGACTCTAACACCTTCCTTCCTCCCCATAGTTCCGAGCTTTGGAGCTTTGAAATTTCGGTAGCAGTAGTGTTTTTCTCTCTTTACGAGATGTGATTGCTTGTCCCACAACTCACTTTTCTTTTCTTTTTTTTACCGCCCTTCCTTACAACCTGCTAGGCGCGAAGTTTCAGAGTTTTTTTCGACCGGGGTGGTTAGCGGGCATTCCACTATTAAACCAGCGATCCAGCTGCAATACATATGCGAGAGTTACAGGTTAATGTTGTTAGATGGTTGGGGAGCAGTCGACAGGATGCCTTGCTTTATCCCTAGTTTGTGTAGTTTGTCACTTATCAGAAAGGCGTGTCTCCAATCTGAAATGCGCATGTCTCGCCTGAGATTCAAACCTCCGTGTCATCCACTGTATTGCAATCAGAGATGTTACCACTGAGAAGCTGTTCAGGCTTCTTTGGTTCCCCTAAATTGTGTTTTTTTAAAAAATGGTCGACCATGATTTATTTCTGGTTAGCAAGTGATGACCCGTATGACTTACTGACAGCGCTCAACTGAAAGGCCTTACTGATGGAGACTAGATTTTCGACGAGTGTAGCCAGACTGTGAGTAGTTTATCGTCTTCAGCATCACTAAAAAATTACTTAAAAGTAATCCTGAAACATTTAAATGGTGGATGGTGACTAGCATTGGAATCCAGGATAACGCGCATTTCATCCTATTTGGGACTCGTGGTCAGCTGGATATACCTGTATTTCTCAGTGAGTGATGATATTCCCACCACGGAGGCTCGAACCCAGTGCCCATAGTTTCAAACGCCACTAGACCACTTGAGCAACGAAAGCTGGCCACTTCTTGTTCAACGGGTCATATTAATTAAATATTTAATTGAATTTTAGATTTTCACGTCGATTGATTGGACCGAAGTTCTCGGTCTCAGGTTGACATGTCTGTTGGCTTCTTGTGCGGATGCTTCGACGATGTCTGTTAGTCACCATCACCAATTAAATACTAACTAAATGCCCAGACGTCGTCGAAGCATCTGCATAAGAACCGACAGATGTGTTAGCCTGAGACCGAGCACTTCGGTCCAATCAATCGACGGGAAAATCTCGAATTCAATTAAATTAATCCTGAAACAGCTATAAAAGTGTAATCTTCAGAGCTGTCATGGTATAACACATAATGAAACTGCTGACAACTGTGATAATTAATGTTTAGGTAGTGTTGTTTCCTCTTTCATTCAAATTATTGTTTTGGGGTTTTTTTGAGATGATAACTATCAGTCTTTTATGTGTTAAAGTGACATATGCAAGTGAAAAGCAACAAGTTGACGACAGAAGAAGCATCCACAGAAGATAGGACTTCCTTCAGGTGAACATAGAGAAAACAGATGTGGTGATGAGATTCCTGGCCAACGCCAACACCAACACCAACACCAACAGACAACAATCAGCCAGAATAAATGGGAGTAACCTGAAAGAAACAACCTCTTCCGCCTACCTACCAACCAACCAACCTACCTACCTGTAAAGCATCGTTTCAACTACGGGTGGACGGGATTGATGAAGATATCAAAGCAAGGATCATCGGGAACGCAAGGCAAACCTTCATCACTCTCAAGTCTGTGTGAAGGAGGTCAACAGTACTACTCAACATGAAAATGGAGATAAGATCCAGATTTTCAACTCCAATGTGAAGAAGTCAGTGCTACTCACTATACGGATGGATCAGAGACTTGGCCAGCGCGTCATGAAGAGCACCTCAAACAAACTTCAGACCTTCATTAACAGTTGTCTTCACTCAATACTCAAGATCAGATGGCCGGCCAGAAAACA